GTCAACCTTCGATCGGTTTGCAAACCTCGCCACACACGTTGAAATCTAACCCGATCGTTTCAATTTGCTGTCCGTTTGTAGCCTGCTTTAGAGATAGATAACGGGACACACGGGACCCGCGGTACAATTCTGAAAAACGTCGGGATGGGCGGGTTCGGGACTTAAAAATCGAATTTCGGGATGGGCGGGATCGGGATTAAATATTTAGTCCCGTGCCCATCTCTACTTGAGATAGATGTAGACAGATACATATATACCAAAATACTTAGAATAAGGAGCGGGAGGTCAATTAAGCCATGCCTGTTAGACTTTCCGTTTTTCCGTGTACACGATAACTCGAGAAAAAATTTCGGTTACGGAATTCGCTATGCAAGTTGTCCTCTATCCATGGTAGGTTGGTATGGAAAATTGGTAAAACGGACCGTAACTACGCCAGCATCAAGACGCACACTATAAATTGAAGAAGAATACCGTCCATATGTGTGAATTAATATTGCACTTTAAGGAGTATTATGCTTGTAACTGAACATTTTGTAACCGGGAAATTTTGTTACTAACCATTTACACCGGAATTATATGTATGTACCTTGGTAACGTTTCAATTTATTCAGCAATTCAAAAAAAATTTTAACAATAAAAACACAGATAGAAATAAAATTCAAAAAATGGAACGAGGAGCGATTATCCGACACACAAATTGCGAATATAAGCGACCGCATGGTTGAGGAGCCAATTTGACTAGACTTTGACATCTTTGCATTGTTGACACAGATGGAACGGAGTAAAATGCTAAAAAAAAATCTCAACCAATACTTAAGAAAAATTTAATAAATTGTTTAGTTCCACATTATAAACGGAAAGAAATACTAAAAAAAATCTCAACCAATATTTGGGAAAAATTTAAAAAATTGTTTAGTTTCACATTAGAAATAAAATTTTCTCAACCATTTGAAAATTTTCGTTACAGTGGTTGTTGGGTAAGGTTAAAATTTATGCATTGCGGAAGAATTTTCCGTCATCCCTTGTAAAATTTGTTTGAAGGCAAACCAGTTTCAGCGTTGTGCCACATGAGACCTAAAAATTACACTGACGGTGACTTGTAGTCATACAATGGTTAGTTATAGTACTAATGTCCTCAGGGAGAGCTGCGATGAATGTTAAGATTTTATTTTTAATTTGTTAAGGAATATTTAGAAAAAATTGTTCAGAAAATATGGATCTTCTATTAAAACATTTAATGTTCGTAGAATTCCTCGTAACTCCTCAAATATGGACCAAACTTTTTAAAATACCGCATTAGTAAGCTAAATATACAATTTGTAAATTTCTGTCATTATTATTACATTTTTCCTAAATTTCCTAATTACAAATTTATTCGCTCCTAATTGGCGGCAATTCCGTGTAAACTCAATTCCACGAATGCAACACCAGCTAGGCAGAAGTAGCGCACCCTAATTGCTGTTAAAACTTCAACTTCACCTTTCGGGATCACGCCAGTAGAACCACTTACAATTTAATTAAATTTCAATTGGCTATGCTGCATGCCACACAGCTGGCTGCACATTGCAACAGCCAGGAATGGCTACAATGCTGCTGAAAATAGGACACAATAAAGAATAGGCAAAAGCGAATGAGGCTATTTGTGGAAAATAAAATTGGAAAACGATTGATTGCACTGGTGCGGCAATAACGCGCTAGTAACTATGGTAGTAAAATATGCCGCCACGAGTTCAATTAATTCTCCATTTTTCTTATTTTTTAATCATTTTCTTATAAATATATATACTCAGTTTTTTTT